ATAAACCCCTGACCCGGAACAGTCGAGTCAAATATGCAACATGTCAACCTTTAAACTTCTTAAGATATCTATACAGATACATGTATACGGTGCGGAAAATTTTTAACAAAGACTACGCAATAGAATTATCTATAAGTGAAGAAGCATCCCAAGAATCCTAAAAATGACTTAAACATAATAGAAACAAACGTGTTAATATTTTTTTCTGCTCTGCCGATGCTTCTGAAAGACGAGGAGATTACGAGAATTTCTTATAAATGCAGCATGTTACACTAAGTGGAGGGCAATTCATCAGTCTGAAAAGAAACATCTCATGTCGTCTATACGAGTTTTTAAAAAAATGTTATTTTTGTTCTTAAAAACCAATAAACAATGTAATTTTCGAGAATTTTAATGAATCTAACATGTAGTTATATACGTTTCAAAGTCGTAAATGTCATGAGTTATAGTTTGCTGGGAATCTTGAATAATGTTTAATAGGTTACACTGAAATCAGGCAATATCTTGCAGTCAATTATCTTGGAATCGATAAATCAATATAAAAGCATATTATTTATTAATTGTTTATCGGAGTTTATGTAGATAAATTTACGATTTATAATTCATATCATAAAGCTTCGATGACTCAGCGATTGTGAAAGTGACAGGTCTACCTTAATCAAATTGGCGACTGAATGCTTTAAAAAAACACTAATTTAACCTTACCAATATTTTTTCATAATATCGTGTCAGAATTTCGATCATTCTATACCAGAAGAATAAAGGTCAATTCCTGCAAATTGACCTCTGTACCGAAACACATAAATAAGTTGAACTGAATGCAAAGAATGTTATAATGTATATCAATTTTGTCACCAATATTTTTTAATTCTTTAAAATATGTTTCATAATGCTGTTTTATGTCTATAAAAGTCAACTGTCAATCAAATATCCTCATAAATTAAACCATCGACAGACATTGATTTGTTTTTAAGTCAATTTTCTCTGAAAATTAACTTCATTAGTCAAAGAGGTCGAGATCAAACACATATTTTTTTGGATTTTTTCGCATATATTTGAAAGAAAATTGTGACGAAGTTAAAAGTACATTGGAAGGTTTGAAGTGTATAATATATAAAAGTAGTTTTGTTCATTATTTATCCACCTCATCAATTCAATTGGCAATTTTAATGGCTTTACGAATTCAAAATTCCTATGAAAAATTATATTTTTATCCCATGAAATTATACTGCTAGAACCTGAGAAGACATTTCCCTGGGTTACCGGCTCGTTGTTCTTGGGATTTTTAATTTCTGTCCGTCTCATGATCATGGAACCCTTGACTGGAATATATTTATTTATTCAAACTTGAGTATGCCGATGACTTGCACTTGAGTCATGACGTTGAATCAGTGTCAAATAAATGGCCAAGGGTAAATAATTGTAGAAAAGGGGGTGTTTTTGTCCAGAACAAAAAAATCTAGCATATACTGATTTTCAAATATACAGTTACGATGAAATAAGAATCATTATTATTTGCCTGTAGGTCTGTTTGTTTGCATTTAAAAAAATCTTTTATTCGACTTTTTTGAGCATGCGTAAAGCTGAAAATATTTATCTTGGTCACCCTAGAAAAGATCAGCAATCGTTCCTCTATGGAATTGTGCTAGTATTTTTATAACTCAGACTCTCTTTGACTGCCTTGAATTAGCTGGAATTGCACGCACCATGACATACACTTACGTGAATTTGTAATGTGGATAAAGAATATGTCAAGGCCGTGGTCTCAAGTAACGTTAAGTGTTTTAAAACACATTCTGCCTTCGAAATTATCGTCAAATTGAAGTGCAAACGACCACACACTAAACAAACGAGCATATTTATTCACAGAAAAGAAAATAAAAACTGACTTTGATAAAAATCTGCTATCTGCATTTCTCGTCTGAAGTGCGGGCGCATTACATGTATCGCTTACAAAGAGTGGCAGAGAATTTGATAAAAGCTGTCTTATCAGAAATCGTAATGACACGCCGGGATTATCCAAGATTAAGAAAAATCAACTCGAAGCATGCCAAGAACTTGGAAATCTATGTATGTACTTGGTGAATAAAAAAAAAGTACAATTAAAACCCTTTGTCATATAAAGAGTTAGCGTATATAGTATCTGGTGGCATATCAGTTACATGTACACTTAATTGACTTTTTGATCTCCATTTTAACTCTTACAATGGACTGAATTTCATGTTACGCCTTCAAAACCAACGTTTGAAATCAATTAACTTCTTTTGAATATATCTGATACCTTCATCAGAGGATAAAACTGAAATTGGATGATTTTATATTAAAAAATAGGAGTATTAGATAATAACGAATCTGTGGGTTTCAATTTCTGGTGATGATCCTAAGCAAACGCATGTAATCTATACAATTGTGAAATGAATTCCAATTACTTCTCACGAATTCTGATTTACATTTTGTATATTTTGAGATAAGGCATGTACTCTTTTATACTGCTTTCGTTCTAGTACATTTCTAATACAATGACAAAATCACTCACAGTCCAAAGAACTGCATTAAATCTGCATACGCGGTAGCATTTTGAAAGTACAGCTCTTTACTATGAGAATTCCCAACTTGTCTCTTGGCCAAATGGTCTCGTGCTATCTGGCTCGTAGAGTGACAAAGCGAGACAGCAACAACGCAAGAAACTATGGGTGAAAAAATCTTTGACCTTTTTTAGTCTCATCTGCCAGTCTAGTTTTAGAATGGAAGAAACGAGATAAAATTCTCGGTGTTCAAAACGCTGATGGCTGCTACTGAGCGTTTTGCTATGGATTCACTTTAAATATAGTGCCTTAGAATTTTCAAACATACTAGGTTTACAGATGAAAAAACCTGTAAATTCTAAGACTAAACTGTAATTTAAAATGTAATTCTACGTTTTGGAAGTAGCAATTGAGTACCAAGTCTAACTGGTATCAGGGGGTTAACCCCGTTTTGTGCGGTTACCAAAAGTTCATCACTTTCGATTTAAGGATTTGCTAAAATGTCACACACTTTTACGGAACTCCTCTGTTTTATCCATCAAAATATTCATAATTCTTTTTGCCTACGAACCCCAAAATTATCTATTCGCATTTTGATTCTTTGCAGTTTTGATAGTCTTCTTAAAAAATATAAAGAAAAGTTTAATTCCAGGTCACATGTTTTCAGAGAAAGAAAATTTCCATTTATTGTCTATGAAAAATCCAAAGAAGTCTGGTTTCCCGTCATATTTTCAGTGTCTTGCTCACTAACTCATATTTTTCTAATTCATATTTTGTTTCAATTAATAAATGCATCGAATTTAATTGCCAAAATTGAAAAGTTTAATGCAAGATATCTCAGCAGAATACATTCTTAACTAGAGGTCCAAGGACCTTAACGGTCACCTGAGTATAATACAACATTGTAAAAGATCCAAAGTAGTATAAAATAAAACAAAATATGATCGAAGCTATGTTGCCAAAAGCAAGAAAAATTAGATAATCAGCCTAATTAGTCTATTACTCAATAACGAATGCTAAAGCGGATTTATTTACTTGTCTGTATCTGCCCCCATTTGTCACTATCACCATTATGACTAAACAATACAAAAGTGCTTCAGCACCATTAGAATATCAATTGTATTCCTTCGCCCATTTGGTCTCCCTTGTTCTCTCAGTTTTGGAAGAAGCAAATTTGCTAATCAAAACTATGCACTTAGTTTCATTGTTAGATTAATACCCAGGAGAGGAGAAGATTTTCAAAGAATCTATACGGTTTCACTGAATGATCATTAGAGCTCCGCCCTAACTCCATAACCCCTGGCCCTGGGACCACAAATTTCACAATTTTGGAAGAGGAACCCTTGCTCATCATAACCAGCCACCTAGTTTATCTGCTTAGTAAACAAGGGAGGGGAGGAGAAGATTTTTAAAGAATTTTTGCATTTTTGCTAAATGATCATTAGAGCCACACCCTAACACCAATGCCCCTGACCCTGGGATCACAAATTTCACAATTTTTAAAGAGGCACCCTTACTCATCATAACCATGTACGCAATTTATCTGCTAAATATACGGGGGAGAGAGGATGGTTTTTAAAGAATTTATGCATTTTCACTATATGATCATTAGAGCCCCACCCTAACTCAAGAACCCCTGGCCCTGGGGGCACAAATTTCACAATTTTGGATGAGGCACCCTTGCTCATCATAACCATGCACGTAGTTTATCTGCTAAATAAACAGGAGAGGGTGGAGGAGAAGAAATTTTGAAAATTCCACATACGACAGCCAATTGCCACGGCTTATAAATTGCCACTTCCAACAGCCTACTGCCACAGCAAACGCCTACAGAATTATCTTTATCTGTTTATTCCGCATATGCATATGATAAATTCTACAAAAGAATAAATATCTACACGAGTCTGAAAAAGGAAGATCCAAGTTCTTTTCCAAGGAAGGTCGTTTTCTCTGGACAACGATCATGCAATAAATGTATAATGTTGCGGAAGTGCAAGAGCGCGAAGATGCACGACTTTTGCATCTTTGCCCTATATACGAAAGCATTAAGGTGCGAGTGGTGCCCCATCTCTGACTCTGATGCACAGAAAATTAATGGTCACGATCTATCATTTTTTTTCGTTTTGTTTTGTTTGTTATTGGTTGCTTCTCTTTCTTTTAATAAGATGGTTATTGCAAGAGGGCCTCCTCTAAGAATGCAATGAAAAGAAAGATAACTCTTTTTATAATTGACGGTATGGAATACATGTATGACTAGCTTTCTCTTTATGAATATATAGCGTATATAGTCTTTTTAGACAGACAGAGAAAGAAAATATTATAGATATACACAAAATAATTTCTATGAAAAAATATGTTGACCGGAATTCCCCCCCCCCCCCCCAGATATCCGGATTTACTATTTCTACTGGTTTCGTTTTTTGTTTAGTACAATATTTTTACGACTTGCCAAAAGTGAGACTGCTTAGATGTAAACAACTAATTTTATAAAACTTCAGAGAAGTCAAACACATCAAAGATGGATAGGGCAAGTGAAAGCAGACTGTCGTTAGGCAGTGCTAAGTCAGGAGGTTAGGATTTTACGCTGTTTCTTTCTTTACCATTTTCTTTGTCTTTAAAAATTCTGAAATCTGAGTTGACGTGCACCTGTAGAGCTTGTACTGCGTAACAACCATATTGATAGGTAAAATTTCCCACAGATCATAGTCATCTGTAGCATATATTTCTTGTAAGAGTTAAATTACACAATAATCACATTGATTATATATTCAATAGGTAAAGAAAATGAAGAGTTGCCATCAGAAAAAAATGTAGACTCATTTGGGAAAACCCCTCTACACATTGCCTGTACATATGGCCAGATCTCCATGGTGGAGAAGTTACTAAAGGTACATTTAAAGTATGATTTTTTTTGTGATATTTAACTATGGTTAATACTAGTACTGTTTTATTTTTTAGCAAGAATAATGCTATTTTTTTTTAAATTTACACTTTAAATACTCAAATCAGGATAGAGAGTAACTGCAGAACTGTAGCTCTCTGGTTGAGAAAATTCAGACAGACAAACCAGAGCACTACAGATCCAAGCATTGTAAAAATTAACCTTCAATTTATCACATTGCTTTTTTGTCGCCCATTTCCAGTATTATTTCTTGTATTATATGTGTTTCCGAGTGTAAGGCCTGATATTCATTAATTAACCATATATTTTACTCCTATTCCTGATACTTTATTTACCTTTCAATAGTTCCAAACAGCCCTATATGGCCTTGGAATGTCAGTTTTTAAACATTCGCATACAAACATCCATGTTGGGGAATTGCTAGAATAATAAAAACACCCAAGGTTAATTTATCTATTTTTTTTTTATATACATATCTTCTTTAATTGATGATATAAATAATATTTTACCCTCCTCCAAAATTTTTATTTTGATTTCCACGCCATATGTGTGCTCTTTCACAGATGTGTTTAGCACAACCTCAACATTCTATTCTGTAACATCAAGTGTTGACATATTTTTGTCACTTGAATTCCTCATTAATAGACTTAAGATGTAACTGTAACTTTGTCTGAGAGCAGTATAAACTAGTGCTGCTGAAACTTTGTGATACCCCCAACCATCTCTGTAGGTATCTGTAGGTATCTGCTTGGCATTGTTTCCATCCCTTCTACTGTGGTCATTGGTACATCATACACCAATAGCATCATAAAAAGCTTCAGAGACAATGTAAACTGACTACATTATATCTTGTATAAAATACCATTATTAAGTAGATCCTCAAATGTACAATACCTGCTGCATATTATTTTCTTTATAGCAACGTCATTCTCAGTTTTTACTTCAGTAGATAAATTTACATGCTTGATTGTTCTGATGAAGACCATCTCTGGTTGAAACTGGTAAACAAATAAATTTACTGTTGCATTTTCATGAAGTGTTAGTGATCTGTTTTATGTCTTTAAGTTTACAACTTTAGGTACAGACCCTATTGAACACTGTTCGGTATCCACACATGGGAATCTTCCGCATTTTCAACCTTATAGTGTTGGTTTCCAGTTTTTCTTTGTTTTATAAATATATTAGATTGTTAATCAGTGAGAAATCAGTATTATGAACCACTTAAAAAGTATACTTTATCTAGCATAACTTTTGTAGCAAAATCACAGCCCAATATCCAAGACAAAGACAGGACGCACACCACTTCATGAGGTTTGTGTAGGGGGACACAAGGAGTGCCTCCGACTGCTGCTACAGAATACCCCTGAGGTTAATATAAGGGACAGGGATGGTCAGACCCCAGCCCACGTGGCAGCCTTCAATGGGGAGCTGGGCTGCATCAAAATACTCCAGGATAAAGGTATTTATAGTATTTCGTAAATAACAGTTACATCAAATAGTTATTGTGATATTTCAATGCCAAAGAGCAACTCTGAAATGAAACAGAATATGATCTTAGACAATAATCAATTCCCTTTTACAGCCTGCTTAATGTAAGCAAAAATTTTAAAACTGGGAAAAAAACTAATGCTACTCAGAAGGTTAAAATTGGAAAAATTTGATTAAATTGAAGACATTACCATTTGTTTTGAACAAATCCATAACTACATGTACATTACACAGGACTGATACATTCATAATATGTGCATCTTATTATGATAATATGATTTAGGAGCAAATCTAATAGCTGAGGATCACAGAGGTAGACAGGTGGCACATTTTGCAGCCATGAGAAATCATAAAAAGATCCTTCAGTTCCTTTTTGACCAAGGAATAGACTTGGACTGTCGCTGTGAGATGGGAAAAACACCTGTACATTATGCTGCACAATATGGAGGTAAGTACCACAGATTATATTCATAAAAGAAATATATGATGAATTCAAATTCATCACTTTCATTCACATTTGCAAAAGATTATCCAAAGTGTTGAAAAGCTGATTTACAGATAGCTAATTAATAATATATTCTTTCAAAACAGAGAAAAAAAATTGAGAGCTTTGGATTGGATATAATTAGAGTAAGGTTTATTGTGTTAGTACTTTGATCATTTTCTATATATATATTTCATTTTCTGACTTATGCAGCCCTGGAGACTGTGATTCTGCTGGTTCAGAGGGATTGTGACATCACACTGACAGACAACAATGGCTACCTTGCTTCACACCATGCTGCCAGACATGACAAACTTGATTGCTTACGCTTCTTGGTCAAGCAAGGTTCCAACATAGAGGCCACTCAGGCTGATGGCAAATCCCCATCCCATGTGGTAGGTCAAGGTCATGTGCTGACATTGACCTGTAAGGCTACCAATCAGCACACTGTAAAAATAAATTATAAGGATGCAAGATCATGATATTTACAATATCTACATATACTTAATCATATTTCTTCAGAAGTCAATTGTATATGATGCTTATTGTTGAACATTTTTTCTAAAAAATAATTTTACAGGCAGCACTCCATGGAGCCATTAATGTGTTACACTGGCTCTTTGAAAAAGGAGCAGATCCAAACAAACAAGACTGTGAGATTCTTCAATTTGTTCATTTGTTTTTATCAATGTTAAGAATATTTTTATGAAACAATTTATTTGATTCTTTCTTAGATATTGAATAATTTGGAAAGGTAAACAACAAATACAAGTCTCAAATGATTGTGATTCTTCAATTGTTACTTTAATATTCTGGTGATTTTTCAGACTTTGGGAACACCCCAGGACATTATGCTTCAGAGGGAGGGTTTCCAGAATGTCTCAGCTGTTATCTTTATCATGAAGGGGACATTGAAAATCAGAATATTAAGGGTGATACTCCACTAGACTCAGCCAAGAAGGCAGGCCATCCAATACTGATGCAGAAAGCGTGTAGGTGGTAAAAAATTAAGAATAAACAGAATTTTTAAAAATGTGTTTAATCCTGATTTGCAACAAGTCAATATTATGCAGATCTTATAATTTGTTTAATAACATATCAACATAAAAACATTCCAGTGTCATCAAAAATTGCTATAATTTTTATTTTGTTTGTTTTTTTTTTAATGTTAAAAAACAATATTTTAATAATAGATTTTCATTAATTTTGTGCTTAACTTTTTTTTGCCTGTAGTAAACAATGAAGTACCCTGTAAAACATGTTTCCAAAAACACAAGAAGGCAGAGTGGGAGCGGTTGCATCCACCTGCTAATGTGGAGAGACAGATCACAACAGCTAAATCTGTAGCCTACAAAAATCCACTCCCTAAAACCGAGTATGTACAAACTTTATTATAGAAAAGTTGTTGGTCCATGAATTTATTAATTTTGTAGTTCCTTTGAGCTGAAAACCTGAGAGACTTTTTGCGATGTTTGTTTACAATTATTAAAATGGAAAATCATAGCTTCTTTTCCAATTTTAGTCACTTTAGAATTTGAGGCAAACAGTTTAAAGTGAAAAGAAGTTGAAATTGTTAAGTGATCTTCTGTTGTAGAACCAGTGAGCCAAAAATTAAAATAAGATTTTGAAAATCTTTCTTACTGAATATAGACCTAAAACTCATGCAACAAAGATAATTTTCCACCTCTGTGGTAAATAATTTACCCTAATTATAACCTTACCATTAATTTTAAATATTTTTTTTTTAACTACACAGGAAAGCACCAACACAGCTGGAAATAAATTTGATGAAGAGAGAGAAGAGACTAGAGAAACTGATGCCAAAACCCACAGGACCAAAGCGAGATGTCTCGGCTCAGTATTACGGACATTATCTCGATCCTAATGAAGTGTTTAAATTCAAGGCTTCTGAGGAAGCCATTAGATTCTAACCTGGAATTGACAGAAATAGTTCAATAAATAAGATGGATTTGCTTGGTGAACTGTAAGAGACCAGCAATCTTAGGTCACTGAAGTGACTCAATTGGAGCTTAGTTGGTCATAACCTAGATGACTTGACACTCAGGTGACCTTCAAGGTCTATGGGCCTCTTGTTAAGAGAATAATGGTTTATTTATATGTTGTCTGTGATTTTACTAGACTTCTCAGAAAACTTACATAACTACTGTCGGTAAATTTTAAAGCATTCTGTACTGAAAGTGTTTCTGTGATATATGTATTAAAATTTCTATTGTGGTTATTTGGCTTTTAAATCTTACATGTAGTCATAGGTCCAAAGTACATGTAGTATTACATGATGTTTGTATTTGGTATATCAAAGCAAAATCACTAGAGACATATTGAAAATATAACAGGAAAATTCATCAGCATCAAAAAAGTTACAAAGTTTATTCACTTTGTATTGATATGTTGGCAACTTTTCAATGGAAGACCAGAAAAATAGCACATCCATGATTACTGTCAGTGCACAGTATTGTCCAAAATATAAGATGTACTCCTTATGATCCAAAAATACCAAAGTCTGTATCAATATATATAAGAAATAATACTCTGAGGTACACAAATTTTACTTAAATACTGTACACGTGCTTTATTCTGGGAGGGATTATTTCACAATAAGTACGCGGTATGTCATGCACGAAATTCCCACGGAAATTTGTCACAGAGTACTTGAAGTTTAAGTTATTAAATGGGAATTTAAGAAATCCGTGTAATTTTATATCCGTTGATATTCCGCGAAATTATGACCCCGTGGAAAAAGTACGTTTACAGTGTTAATATCATAAGCTTTGATGTGAGTGACCTCTTTAGGATTTTAATCATCAAAATTTCATATGATTTATCAATTTAAGGAATAACTGTCTAATTTTTTGGATTCATGATGTGATCAATCGAGTGGCTTGCGTGATAATTTGCATAAACGCCGAAGGCGTTTATGCATAAAATTATCACGCAAGCCAATCGATTGATCATCGTCATGAATCCAAAAAATCTGACAGTTATTCCTTATATTTACATGCTCCTGATTCTGCAAATTCCCGTGCTAATAGCCCCGCTTCTGTCTCTATTTGTCCCGCCCCGCACGTGATTTTTTTTTAACCGCGCCTATCGATGAACCAGTAGATTTTTGTAGAAATAAAGTGTTTTTACAATTTGTAATTTTATCTCGGACAAAGACATTGGAAATGTAAATATTTTAAAATTAATGTCAAGGCCAAATCAGCTCCTGATATTCCTCTCCATATGGGTTTTCTTTTGTGTTTCAAATTAATAAGTTCTATTTTTATCACCTATTCTGACAAACTCATTTTCAAATTTTTTGCCACCTTTAACCTAAAAGAGTTCTCTTTTGGTATCAGAGAGGGTGAATTTTTATAAAAGGTTAGTTTTAGGTTTTATATTGGATTTTTCAGTTGTAATATATTGTGAATGTGTCATAGAAAAATATTTTATTTAAAAAAAAATTCAAAAAACCCTTGGGGTACGGAACACGGGGGGGGGGGAGGTGTCCCGTCCCCCAAGCACCTGTGCATGTTAAAGATCAAGATAACGAACAGTGATCAATCTCAGATTAAGTAAGCAAAAACAAATCATGAACAGGGCAAAAACATTGACCCCCTGGAAACACCAGAAGTGGGATCAGGTGCCTAGGAGGAGTAAGCATCCCCTTGCATACATGAAATATGGAGATATTAAACGAACAGTATTCAAGCTCAAAGTCCATTAAAACAATACAAATCGGGAGCAGAGCAAACACGGACCTCCAAAAACATCAGAGTTGTGATCAGGTGCCAAGGAGGAGTGAGCATCCCCTGCCGACCGCTCACACCCACCGTGTGCTCCTTTTCATGACCGGTAAATAACGGAAAAACTCTAACTGTGAATTATTGCCTATCAGTGGTATCCACATAACACTTCATATACAATAACATATTTCGACATATGACCTAGGAATAAGCAGAGGAAATCTTATCTCTGGTTTGAAAAATGACCTTTCCTGTGTGGATTTTATTTGTGAGTATTCCTTGTTGTCTGTGCTCAAATTCATGGAACAAGCGTTTGTTAATCAATGATCAAACTGCGTTACATGAAACGATTCAGAAATTACAAACGGAATTGCAGCAGTTAAAGTCGGAGGTGACTCAGCTGAAACAACAAAGAGCACCTGGTCAGTGTCCTAATTCCAAATCAAATAGCTTCAGTGAAAGGCAAAATAATCAAAAAACGTTCTTCACCATGAGAACGATATTGGAAAAATCATCAGATGCTTAAAAAATGGGGAAAGTATTAAAATGGTTTTGTAATACTATGTGTATATAGCTGTATTGTTTTAATATATTTGTGTAGTGGCCACTCCTCTGTCATCTTACACGCGGTGGGGACGACATAGCTGTCCAGCAGGCTCTACGCTGATTTATCGGGGTAAGGATGCTTTACAACATGTATAACTGGAATTTGTTAAAATATGGGTACTTAATTCCTCTATCTAAAAACGTCGATGTATATTATAATGATATTCAATTCTTTGTTAAATATCTTCTGAAATTCGCTTCATTTGATGTCACCCCTATTGTAACATCGCAAGTCAATCGTTTCATTTGTGCTTGCGGTCGATAAAATGGATATGTACTCACTTCCAGCCAGTGTGAATGAATATTAAGATTTAGTTACAATAGTATAGTTCTCCCCATGTCTACGCCAGATAAAAAAAATGTGGAGGATCGATACATTATTGCGGCTACTTCAGATGTAGTGACCAATTTATATATTACCCACAGGTTTTGCCGGTGGCCACTCATACAACGAGACAGGATCTGGTGTTAACTTTCTATGCCTGCCAGATGATCCTTTATGGGGTATACACAAAGACGGATACAATTCTTACTCTGGTTGGATACTGGGGGCGGAATATGAGGGAGGGTACTTTTTTGAGAGCGGCATCCGTGACTCTGACGTACCATGTGCAGTGTGTCTGACCCCCCACTCTACATCCATCGTGATCCCTGCGAGGAACGCTTGCTATGATGGCTGGCACCTGGAATATACCGGGTATCTAATGTCTAATGCCCATCGACATCCCGGAGAATCCGAATATATCTGTGTTGACGCACATCCAGATGTTATTCCAAATAGTTCAAGTAACACCAATGGGGCTGTCCTATACATGGTAGAGAGCATCTGCCAGTCCCTACCATGTCCACCTTATGTGGCTGGTAGAGAACTGACTTGTGCTGTATGTAGTAAATAAAATAAATACCATGATAACATCTTTCCTACATTTCAATTTAAAAAAAAATCTATATTCCTAGATGTTGTGTGCATCAAAAAAGCTTCATTTTCTTATTTTGGCTTATATTCATTAAGTTTGTTTATTATAACAATTTAAATGAAAACCATTGTGCGTTTTATTATTGCTTAGAACTAAATTAAACGATAGAGTTTTATACGATTTTGCTTTTCAGTCATCTCAAGTTTTTCGACCCCCCCCCCCCCATGTAAATAGATAACCGACCGCTGTGATCAGGGGAACATGGCACTTTGAGAAATTTTAGTAGCCTAGTTGGTTTCTTCAATATTTGATGGATGGTTTTCCCTGTATCTTATATATAATTATCATTATGTCATAAAATGAAAAAAAAATTCCTTCGTTCAGAAAGCAAAAGTTCCATTTTAAGACATACATGGTAATCATTATGTCTTAAAATGGAACATTTGCTCTCTGAACAAAGGAATTTTTTAAAATAGATTTTTATTGGCAAATTTCTCAACCTTGTAAGGCAAACATAGTACAATTTTATATATTGTTCAGAATTGGACCCTCTCTAGATCGGTGCATGAAAGAGGTGTCATTCTTAAACTTAAGCTAAATCAACCTGTCAAATTCTCATGTTTGCAGCACATTTTGCATCAGGATATTATTTCATACATAGCTAGAACTGAAGCTCTCTGGGACTGAAAATTCGGACATATACACACAACGTTACAAAGGGCTACAGATATGAGCAATCCATGCCTAAAAGCATGGTAATCGGTTTATGAACCCTATATTTTACTCCCACCCGTTTTAATTAATTGACCTTTTACAGGTTTTAAACGACCATTTTTGACCTTAGGATGTCAGTCTTAAAAATTTTCTATTCAGACGTCCATGTTCAGACACACTGAAAAGATTTATAAAGATTTTTCCCTATGTATTTCCATGTAAAACTTCCAGTTTGATGTCCTATTGTGGCATTATTTGAACAGTTGAATCTTCTCTATGTCATGAAGCCTTCGTTTGCTAGTAAGTTTCCTCGTTTCTGGCTTTGTGGTTCTGAAGAAGAATATAAAAGATACTGATCCGTGTTTGCCTTTTCTTGATTATCTGAATCCCCCTTTCCTCAGGACACTTTGTGGCAAAGTTCGGTTGAGACTGGTCCAGTGTTGCTGGAGAAGATGTCGAAATACGAGGACGCTCACAGACGGACAGAATATGACGGAAACATGTGATCAGAAAAGCTCATATGAACCTTCTGTTCAGGTGAGCTAATATAAAAAACTAAATAAGAAAGAATAGAAAACCTGTGGATAAGACACGTTTTTTGAGGAGTCGCCGTAAGTGGACAACGGTGAAATGACCCCGATATTCACATCCTCGTAAATGAAATTTGTTAATAAAATAAAAAATGCACTAGTTTTGAACTTTACAAAGTGAGGGGAATCTGACGCTCATTTATTTGTTAAGCTAAATAAAGGAATTAAATATTAGTGTTCATTCAATTGATGATTGTTTTATTTTGGGATAAACGTGTGCCAAGAAGGTAAGATATGGTCTTTCAATATATCTAACTAAATTACATATATTACATATATATTATATTTTTAATACTGTACTTACGTTAATTACTATATTCTCCCAAAGATTTAAAAAAAAAATAGAAAAAGGCTCCAGGGGGAGTCGAACCCTCGACCTCCAGTTTACTAGACTGGCGCTCTAACCAACTGAGCTATGGAGCCCTGTGATCACCATTCAAACACAGAGGAATACTGTATAGGGGGAAAATAACTCGCGGTGTTAATATTAGCTATATTCACGGTGTTAATAAATCCGTGAATTCAAGAAACAGTGAATAAGTTTTAGATATTAAACCTCAATGTTTTATTTGGAAATTTGAGAATAGACAACGATAGGTATATATACGTACAATACATGGTCATTCAGTAATTACGAGTCGTACTTGTCATTCAATTATCTTAATTATCACGCTTTACTTTAATTCAAAAAAGCAGCTAATAACCTGTATTTACTGTTAAAAAGCTGTTTTAATAGATACATGTTTCATCAATCAAAACACTAGGTTTTGATTACCCGTGCGTAAAGTTACCGCGTGTATTTGTTACCTGCATTAGCATTATGCTATTAGTTTTAATGGAAATTGTAGATTAAAAAAATATCATTCGAATAACTATCGATCTTGCTGAAGATATTGAAGGATATCATTACATGTATATCTACCTACATTAATACATTTATTAGCGTCCATTTTTTTTCGCTGCGATGTGTTATACATTCGGAAAGATGTGTACGTGTATATATGCACTCATCGTAAAAGCATATAGGAAAGTCATTTGCCGTTTATAGTAAAAAAAAAAATTAATAACGGCAGTTGTTTTGATGAATTATTAATTAATTAATTAACTACTAAATCTAATCATTTTATATAAACCTAACCTGTTGATCGCGAAGTGAATACATAACGTTGATAAATGTCATTTCTAGCTATATTATGGATTATACGGATAAAGACAAGGGAGGTAACTTTTATTATACATTGATTCTGCGAATTCAACAAACCGCGATCGTGTCCGAGGAGAGAAAAACGTGAAAATTACAACCCGTGAAATTAATCCCCTGTACAGTAGTATCGCTTTCATGCAAAGGATGACTGCACTTAACGCCTGTTTTTGGGTCTTTTTCGGTTGCTTCTGTTGCTTTTATATCTAAACCTTGTTTCACTTTTGTATCTTTATGAAAGAATCCTGTCAATTTGGAACCAAATTTAAATCTTAAAATGATTTTAGACTGTGATACAATAAAATGATTCAATGTTTTTTGTCCTTACTGCTTTCCAAATATAGTGAATTTACACTTACCTGCCCTTGATTGAACATTAGATATGCATGAGAGGTGGAGCTAACATTGTAAGAATGGGTCTAAAATTAGACTTGATAAATAACAATGACATGTTTGGAAAAAAGAACGTGATCACTCTTTCCAATCTCCTTCTCCATTCTGTATGGCAAAAATACACTTCTGACTAAGGTTTCAAAACGAAATTAACAATATGAGCACGTCAATGTAATTAAAGCAGATTTTATATCAATGCCAGATGACTTGACGTGTTCGAACACAATGTCCTAGTTAGCACAAAACATGCTACCTTACAAGTCACGTGACGGAATTTAGTATTCACAAAGTTATCTGGGGTAAGAAATCACGTGGTGAATTATAATATTCAACATGTCACAATCCTTGGTTACAACACAGAGAGCGGATGTAAGAAGAAGCCGTTTTTTCTCTTTTTCACCATGAGCGCATGTTTGTCTATTAATCTCCTTTTGACACATTATTATTTATGCAAATATACAACTACTGTTAAACGTAGAACAATAGACAAACATGCGCTGACTATGTATAAAGTCAGTAAAAAAGTGGGCGTCCTCATTATCGAACGGAGATTCAAGAAATTGTGATGACCCCTGCCTTTGAAACAGATTCGAAATTCGTAAATACACACTTTTATTAAACGTAATTACATAAAGTTGTAGATTGGATGTTGACCATTCTTACAATGAAAAGAAATATGCTTGTTTTGAAAGTTTATTTTGTCGCAAATTTCGCATGTCCTTAAGTGCAGTCATCCTTTTAAAATAATCTATAGAATTATATCTGATTGCTAGAGGATATAAAATTACATATATCTGCTATCAAGATTATCGGGAAAAAAGAACATGAAATATACTTCCTTTTTAACAATGAACACAACATGAGAATATACCCAAAACGAATTTTAAAAGAATTTTATAAGTTGTAATTATAAGTTTTTTTTATATAAAGCTTTTATAAATTGTAAAATTGTAATGATTTTTTCAGTTATTTAAGTTTGCTCCTGAAGGATTTCAGATACCTTTCATAACCTTTTTTTTTAATTCGGAAAGATACCATAGCCAATCTTTAAAAGAAAACATGATAATAAAAATGTGTTACAAACTTATTATATTGATTCTTGGGGAACAGATGGTAGTAAATACATGTACAGGAAAATTGAGTCTCTATGGAACACCAAATCAACATAAACTCCAAAAATGGAAAAATAACATTTGATTATTTGAAGACATATTCAGTTTATTTTATACGCACAACAATTCACTTAAAGATCTTTTCAAATAATTAATTATATGTATCTTCAATTAGTAATTAATGCGGACACCAATTCAATTGTTGATATCACGTATTGTTTTGCTGAATTGATATATGCAATAATTATGTTTTGAAAAATTATTATTTTAAAAAAATCATTTCTAAGAAAACTGTTTTTTTTTTTTAAAATAAATATTACTAAAACGTGTTCCCCAATTTATTGTGTCCTTCTTCATATTCACGCGTACTATGAAACCTGCTTTAACTTGCCACCATTGTTTATGTAAATTTTTGTATACAATCGTAAAATTGTGATAAATTCAGTTCAGCTCTCTTCAAATATCAGCAAACATTAATGCGAGCCATAGTTAAATCGACAAAAGCAATAATTCAATTCATGTGCGTAAAATTAAAATTAATACCTCTTTCAATTGACTTATTCGTATGCTCGCAATAATTGAATTATTGCTCTCTTTTATTGAATTCATGCGCACATTGTTATTCACTTTGATTGCATTAAAGAGCGCATCAATCATTTCATGCGCACATCAATCCAATTGATGAAATAAATTCAAATGATACATATTGTTTGTTTGTTTTATTTGAACAAAAGACACATCTCATACGTATACAAAATATGTACATAAATATTTACACATAAGATTTGCACAAGATAAGTGTATTATATGGTATACAATATAATTAGCAATTACATTAACAATAGCATTTACTGCTTTATAATTTCTTATTGTACACTATTTCCAATAATTGCGCTTAGAAATGGAATTTTAAATGTCTTCTAATACTTTGCATGTATGATCAATGATTTTAGTTTATGTTAATTTGGTGCTCCATATTTCACAGGGAGAAAATATATTTCTGTCTTAGTTCCTAGCAGTTAATAAATTGCATTATCCATTAAAATACTGGAATAGTAAATACAGTACCATTTTTGACTGGGATACGATTCTATGGATGTTCTATACAAAGGCAATAAGTAAGACAACTATTACCCGCTCAAAATTCACATTGTATTAAATACAGACTGTATTTCTTTTTTACATAAATGTAAAAATTTATTTCACTTTCATAAAAAAATATGATACAAACTCAAATATTGCAAATACATTGTATATCTGTTAGGAAGAATGTTACTGGTCATCACAGTTTTAGAATTAACAGATCTTATGGAACATGTACGGAAAATCATACTATTTCCTTGCCGGTCATGTTCACTATAACTTTTTGTAGAAATGTTCCTTTGAGTTGCCGTATCTCTGACTTATATCTCTTATTTTCCTCCGTGTGGTTCGGACCCCACTGTTCGTTTGGCTGCAGCGATTTTCTCAATTTCTGAAAGTTTAAATTTGAAAATTTTTGAATTTTTGAATTTATAAAACAAAATCATATGTTATCACAAAAAAAAGAGCTATAAACTATCATTCATTTGACAAGTAATATTCATTAAAGAAAAAAAATCATATTTATGCATTTTACGGACAAACAGATAATGAATACTTAAAGAGTATATCTCTAATTACTTGATTCAAACAGCTACCAGCAAGTAGTATGTACATCATTGGTATTACTTTACAGTGAGTATAAATAAGCTAATTAAAAAACACCAACCTCCAAAAAAGTGCCACCCGAGGCGATTCTTATTTCTCTGTAGGCTAGGAGAGGGATCGGTAGAAGGGGTATCACTGCAATAAACCAGCCGAACCCCTGGGCCCAGTCGGGGTATTTGTAAGTGCCGTACTCGGGAGGGACGTAAGAGTTTAGGGTCACTATCATAGTTACCTGATAATGGAGACATACATCAATTAATTACGCCGAATAAAACAACGTTCTTATGAAAGAAAGAAACGGCTTATATTCTGTATCTGAATATGCATACCAATAGGATCAATGGAGTGATAAAACACCAAGAAATTCTGATAATGGTTGGAATTCCATGTCCTGTCATTAAAGCAACATCCCGAGAGAACATTTCTGCTCCTGTAAATCGTTAATATAATTTTTAACACACAGCAAAATGACGGTGCATAGATAATGTATATAATCGACTGAAAGAAAAAAAATGAATACAGATATTACAGTAGTAGCTGCAGAACTGTAGCTCTCTGGTTGAGAAAATTTGGACACACACAGATCCAAGCATTAATGTAAAAACCTTCAGGACTACTTCTTCGTCGCACGCTTTGGGTATTGTTTAATGTATAAAACATGTATGTGTCAAAATTTTTGAAACTGACATTCGTAGACGACAACATAGGACTGTTCGAGACTTTTGAAAGGTGAATAAAATAACAGATTATGAGTAAAATATATGGTTAATTAATGGATAGAAGGCTTTTTTGCAGTGGAACTCCCATATTACATGAAATAAAACCCAACCGTGCGACAAAAAATCCCAATAAAACCCAAGCGCCGTAAATCGAAGGTTTTTGCATTGCTTGGATCTGTAGCTCTCCGGTTTGTTTGTCGAAATTTTTTTTTCAACCAGACAACTACGTACAGTTCTGCGGCTACTTCAGTGGCTGAACCACGCTTATGATTACCATAAATCCACCCAAATACTATGCATTCAAAAAATCCGAAGAGTGGCACTGCAATGGCTGCCGAATACCAATCAATGAGCTGAAACACGTACATACCACCCTGTAAAATACCACAGTCGTGATAAAAAGGTAAAAATACCATCTAAATGTTAAATGCAAGAAATGATTTCAAATCGCTATAAAAAAGAAATTAATCATTTGAACAAAAAATCATTATATTAAACTATTGGAAAATTGCTTTTCATAAACAGGTTGATCTCATGTGGTGGCACGGCGACCCCTAAACCAACCGCCGCTTCTTGATTAACTTTTTGCATTTGACTTGATCGGTAAAATATCACATCAGTTTAGAATTTTGTTTTTACAAAGGAATTATAAAAAAAAAATCCCTTATCGCCTTTGTACTCTTTTAAAATAATTTTTTTTCAGAGCGAAGGCGAAATGTGAGCACATCGCCATTATTACCTCAGTGCACATGATTAATCCAACAAGGAAACACACACCGGAGAAAATTGCAGTCAGTAGAGCTCGGCGTTTTCTCCAAATGCGGAAGGAATCGGACAGTGCTGTAAAAACAGGCTCGATAGTCCCGAACTACAATATCAAGCGGATTAGATTACTACCTTAAAAGAATCATGGATTTTTCACAATGGACATCCCAAACTAAAATTTACTTTGTGATATCGTTGTGATCGGAAATATATTCTCAATGCTGTTTCCTCTTGTCTTTTTCAATCGTTCAAAAGTCCTCAATGACTTCTTATTGTTAAACATCTTTTAAAGCTGGTTTCATAAAAATCTTTACCCTTTTCAAGATTACAAAACGACTGAAAATTAGGTCACCATGACCTACTTTTGAAATTTTAGTAGCTATATTTAAAAATTTCAGATACTAATTGTCTTAGAATCATCAAACTTTGTCAATTGATGTTTCTTGGGTCCTCGGAGTGTGTCAACTGAAAAGTAGGTCACTGTGACCTACTTTTGGAATTTTATATTTAAATATTTCAGATGACGATTGGCTTTGAATCATCAAACTTGGGTCCTCGGAGTGTGTCAACTGAAAAGTAGGTCACTGTGACCTACTTTTGGAATTTTATATTTAAATATTTCAGATGACGATTGGCTTTGAATCATCAAACTTTGTCAGTTGATGTATTTTGAGTCCTCAGAATGTGTCAACTAAAAGTATTTTGAGTCCTCAGAATGTGTCAACTAAAAGTAGGTCACAGTGACCTACTTCTTGTTTTTTTTAAGGCAATATCTAAATATTTCAAATAATAAGAGACTTAGAATCATCAAACTTTGTCTGTTGATGAATTTTGGGGTCCTCGGAGTATGTTTACTAAAAAGTAGGTCACCGTGACCTACTTTTGGAATATCATGGCTTTATCTGAATATTAAAGATAATAAGGGGCTTTAAATCATCAAACTTTGTCAGTTAATGCATCTTGGGTTCTCAGAGTGTTTTAACCAACATGTAGCTCACGATGACCTCCTTTTGGAATTTCAAAGCTTTGTTTAAATATATAGGATACTTAGAGGCTTCAAAAAGAAGTGATAGGTTGTACAATTTATCAGAAGAGCGATTCAAGGCCCTTGGGCTTCTTGTTGTTGTTAACATAATTACTTCGATATTGTATTAATGAATCCTACAAGTAGCCTATTTGAGATATTAGTATCCTTTAAGTCAATATAGACCAATACTAAAATACTAGTGGGTCTTGGATGGCTTTATTTATAGCCTCACATACTTGTCTGATCCCCACCCAACCCTTTTTGTGGTTTTTGAGTACACATGCAGGAAGCATTTTGTGTTTTAAGTATGAATGTTGTGTATAAATTGTTGAGGTGTGTATATGCAGTACCCGTACTAGATACTTATTATCTTACCCTTATTTAGATCAAGATCTATGCATTTATATGTAACAGGATGAATGGAGTATGAAAAATGATTGTATACAAAAATAACCTCATGTACGTTACATTAATGCATTACTATGTTAAATTATAGATTCCAAGGCTCCCCAATCTTGGCTATAAGCTAGGGCACATGTTTGTTCTGGGGTAATAAAAAAGGTTACAACATGACTCATTCCACATATTAAATTAAGAACGGGTTAAGAAATAAAAAGTAATTAAAATAAATTTGCAAATAAAGAACTGATACAACGCTCTAGCTAGCTCACGATTATCATTGATGTACAGTACAGGCCACGAGTTTTCCCCGAAAAACACGGGGCCCCGTGGACCGCAAGTCCACGCTTTTGCGTGGACCTCGATCAATGTCGGCGTCTTTGAAGTTAGGATGTCTGCGCACCGTGTAACACGGTGTGTACGCGCGGTGTATCACAGTGTCCCATTACGATATCACGCAGAACTTAAAAAAAATATTCATTCTCTTTGTTTAATCATTTATATCAATTTCCTTTGAAAAAAGTTTTTTTTTTTAATTTAATACCTTTTTCTTTAATATTAGTTCTTCATTATCGATATACAGATGTTTGAACAAATAAGATGTCCTAAAATCTAAGATCCACGTCCTCGTGACAGCACCGAAAAGACAAAGTCTTCAAATGTGTAGACATATCCATGTAAGTCGTGTTTCAAAACCTAGTTATACGAGAGAAAAAAATATGTTCGGTAAACTATTATAATGCTCAAAAGGAATAGTGATTACAGTTTCGTAAATAAATTACCTGGTTGTCTTTTCTTTCGATTATAGCTGTGTTCATTTTATTTACAGTCATTTTCATAATTTTTTTTTTTTTTTTTTTTTTTTTTTTTTTTTTTTTTTGGCACGTATGCATTCTGTCGTATTCATCAGATGCATATTTTATTTTATAAATCATTTCTACATAAAGAGATTTAAAAAAAAAATATCTAAAATAAAATTTAAAACGTGTCAGATACACGCACAAAATTCATAAACTCTCGATAATTTAAGGATTATTGCAGTCTGTAATCTTGTAAAATATGGAGGTAAATATATATCACACACAAAAAAAGTCGAGTTTTGGTATACTGTACAAATATTACCTTATCCTGAAATTATTTGATGAAAAATGTGTCGAACGGTTTGCGAAAAAAAAAAAAAAATCAATTACATGTAGCGAATGTAGTTCGGGGATGTACATGCATAGAATAAAGCTTCTCTTATGATCAATTTAAAGTCTTTGTAAAGTTATTATCATGGTTTTAGAGAAAAAAAAATATGTAGTTACATGTAGTAAAATCCCTGGCCTCTTTCAAGCTATTACGTTTGTTACCCCCCCCCCCCTTCTAAATTAATTGAGAGTCTGAAGATTTTTTTATGTTACGCTATTGTGAAATAAAACAACCATAATCTAACAGGTTACATGTTTATATGTGTCTGAAAAGGAATAATTTACAAGTAAGTTTGTAATCAAGCCAAAGTACACGTGTGGTGGCGTAACTCGGTAGATGAATTGCTGAAAGTCAGTTGAGTGTGTTATACACTTGATGTGGTCAAAGACGAACAAATTTGAAAGGTGTGATAAACACACAGCGCCCCTGGCCCTCCGGCTGTGTCCCAATATATTTTTAAGAAAGGTGTGAACTCGGAACTGACCATAAGAATGTTTCAAATCACGACTTTCCGCGTAAACAGACTTTCTGGGCCGTCTAGCGTCGTGCGATTTTGATTGACAGGTATGGCACGAGGATTTCGTGAGTAACCGAGAATAACATGTTGGGTTGACTATGAAACAATGTTACAGAATTTAAATAGTATTATAGAATGGTTAATTGTGACTTTGGTAATGTAAATAAAACGAAGAATTAATATTATTATTTATTTTTTTTTTTACAGATTTATGTGAAAGGAGGTTTAAAGAATCTCTCTCCTTCTCTCTCTCTGATTTTTTTTTTACACACTTCAATTAAAGAAAAACTTATAAAATACTTACACTGAAAAGGTTTTAAAACATAAATACTAGTTTATAAAAAGAAAAAAAAAACGTCGGTTACAAGAAATACGCTTCGGCATTATTAAACGAAGAATTAAATGATTTTTTTTTCCTTCAGACTTACATGTATGTGAAAGGGGGTTAAGAGCATCTCTCTCTCTCTCTCCTTTCTCTCTCTGACATTGTTTCTTTACATAATTAAGGAAAAAACATATTAAATTCTTACACACACTGAAAGGATTTTTAAAACAGAATTTATACTTACTAGTTTATGTAAAGACTTAATTCTGTTACGAAAAATACGCACATTATTGTAGACAGGGATTTTGCTCTCGATTCTCGCTTATAAATTCAGAATAATATAAGATTAACAAAATAAATGTGCTCTACACAAGAATATAAATGCTTGGTTTGTACACTAAAACAAATACATGCAGCTCGGATCGTATACCACATGTAACACTGATCATGCCATTTCTTCGTTACGTGATTACGTGGGATTAAATTCTTCAGACATTAAAAATTTCAATCCAAGTAATAATTTTAAAAAGTAATAACTAAACAACTTTACGAAATATGAACTTCTGGGCGAACAGTAAATTCATCTCCATTTAATTTTTCTGTTACTGATATTTAATCCTGTTACATGTATCATTATTTAGTACAATTCAGAATTTAACACATGCATGTCAATGTCTTCTAGATTAGAAAACGATAATTATACATATAAATCAATGTGCTAATTGTTTTAAAATCTTAAAAAATACTTTATCAGAACAAAATGATTTTTCTCTGTAATGTTAAAGACACGGTGCGGCACGGAGGGAATTTTTTGGGCACGGTGCGACACGGGGTGCATTAGCTGGAATTTTTCTAGACACGGTGCGGCACGGTGTGCCTACCTGTGTATTTCAAATCCACACACACCGCGCTACACCGTGCACACGGTGTAACACAGAGCATTTCACACGGTGTGTTTTCCACCGTGCGACGGGGAAAACTCGTGGCCTGTACTGTACAACCGAGAACGGGGGCTGTAGTTTATTTAAAGAAAACCTAGTAATTACGGAATAACAGACCTAGGTCTATAATAATACGAACACAAATTGTTCTCATATAAGGGAATTTTTTTTGTAGAGAATAAAGATCAATCCAGTACGTATAGATGAGGGAAAATGTAATTTTGAAAGTTTTCTAAGGTTGTCTCTCTTTTATGAATTTTGTAGTCAACCTTTACGGGGTGATTTTTGTGTTATAAAAATATTTCAAACTTCAGTGCAACAATTTTGTACAAACTACCCAACATACCTTCTTTATAATTGTTTATAGAACAGGATATATTTCTTAACAAGTGATAGTATACTAGTAATACTTCATTCTTATGTACTTAGTAATCTACTATGAACTCAAAGATTCATTACCGTGCTATCCAGTCCTACAGTGAGTAACATAATAAAGAAAACAACAGCCCAGACATTGGAAAGAGGAAGTTTAGCCAGGGCTTCTGGGTATGCTATAAATCCCAAACCAGGCCCTGTAGATGAAATAATGCAAAAAAATCACTTTAATCAAGTTCAGAATTTAATAGTGTATGATTCACATATCATCGTTATGGTGTGGTAAAAGATTATACTAGTATAATCAATATCTGAAATATGAACCTGACTTGACGACCTTCTCAATTGGGACACCGTTTTCATGTGCCATGTACCCTAGGACTGAAAAAACCACGAATCCTCCAAAAATACTGGTTCCCTCTCCCGCCAGTGCCAGAGCATAACAGTCTCTAATAGAGGGCAAAAGAAGCAAAAGATCTTTAAAAACGAAGTTTTCATTTGCAAAGCTTTGGTAACCTGTTTATTTGATTCTTGGTTTTCCGTGAGCAACCCCAAAAGCATTTATTCTTTTCCAAATGGAATTCTGTATTGAAATAGCAAGAACTTTAAATAAAATATATCTGTTGAATATTTTCAAAAGAAATTTAAAAAAAAAAGAATTCAAAACAAGATTTTTTGTGAACTTATTTCCTATATACCTTAGGCAGTTGTTATGGAATTTGTTGTAGCTAGCCATAGTTATTAGTGCTCCCCATACTATTCCACTGGAGTAGAAAATCTGAATGGCGGCTTCTGCCCATACCTAGTATATTATAAGATATGCTTATGAAACAGTCTCAGACAGGTTGAAAGTGACAAAGGACCATGAATCGACTTAAACCTCTGAAATTATTTAATTGAACATCTTCATTTTCATAGCGGGGCATAAAATTTCTCAGACTCTTAAACTGTTACCTTAGTTCTTGCATGGTTTCTGAAGCATCAAAATATATTGCATATTCAAATAAAAATGAACATTTTATCATAGGTTTCTATCTTTTGTAATGATATTTTATTTCATAACTTCCTACAATTAAAAAAACAAAGGTTAAAAGTATGTAAAAAAAATTGCACTATATATTCTTTAAGAAATGTGGAGGAATGTGTGAAATTTTTGCATAGCAAACAAAGTAGTCCGTTGCATGTTGAAAGCGTAATTTAAGTGGCTGCAGATGCCAAAGTCCAATCCCAAAATTTTTTCCAGAAATGGCGGATGATCAAAACGATTCATTATTCAAAATAGAAACCTAAGCCAAATATAGAATGTGTACCTTTCCATCCTTCAAACGCTCAAAATCTGGAGTAATATAAAACAGAATTCCATCGGCGGATCCAGGCAAAGTTAGGCCACGTATAAGTATTACAAACAAGAGGATATAAGGAAGGGTCGCAGTGACGTAAACTACCTACAAAAAAAAGAGACGTTCCGTTTATAAAACAATTAGAAAATTGTTTTTAGGCAACAGAACTGAAGATAATTGACCAAACCTTTGGATTCGTAGCATTCTATTCACACTAACGAAGGTTATAAGAACACGGTAAGTTGGACGCCAAGCGGACTTTGACAAATGGGATGTCACGAGAAAGTGTTACAACGATTGTTATACAGTGAAAGAATAATCTTGGTGCAGTTGAGTCAAGAACGCTATAGTTATTCTTTTACAGTTAACAATCGTTACACATTTCTCATGTTTATCCCATTTGTCATTTGTCACACTTGTGACACAAATTTTGTTAAGGTATACCTTGAAATTCTTTTAAGTTTCTCTCCGAATAGCTTCCATTGTGAAAATTGACAGAAATCAAGGGAGATGTACTGCGCTTAGCACTAGATACCAGTATTTTATTATTTCTCTGCGTGTCAAGAACGCAACTGACATTGCCGTTTTCTTAAAAATCAAAATAACGTTTGAGTTTTAAAAAAAACAAACATGTAAACTACGAGGGAAACCAGATTTTGATCGTTTTAATTTTTTTTGATGCTATAATTAATGTATGTAAATAATAAACACGATACTTTAAACAAAACTGAAATGTATCAGGCACGTAGTACCAGGGCTGGCTTGCCCCCTCCCTTTTTTTTATCCAAAAGTAGCCTTTTATTGTTGAAAATGTTCATTGAAAGGGCGGTTGACAAATGTTCACTAAAAGGGCGGTTTCCCCTCCCACTTTTTGACCCCCACCCCCCGAAATAGGATTTTGCCCGAAGAAGAATTTTTCGGTAAGTTGTCAAATATTCCCCCCCCCTCCTTCTTTAAAAAACGATACTACATACTTATATGTACGTATACATGTAATAAAAATGGCCTTGTGGCTGTCGGCACAATCGGACAATGATATTTCACTAAACAGAATATGATCATATTTTACATATTATTATATTATCATATAATTATATGATTATATTTTTTAAAAGTGTATTTTTTATTAGTAAGATGCACACATGAAATTATCTTTTAGTAAAATTTGCGCATTTCTGAAATCATATACATTGTCTGCGAATTTCTAGAACAACCCTCATTACATTCTTTTTTTAAGACTCAGAAAAATAAAAGTTAGTCTTACAAATATTCTGAGAGTTATTATAAAGTTTTCGTAGATATTTACATTGTTCCTACCTTTCCAACCGTTTTTACGCCTCTGACAATACATAAGTACACAAGCACCCAGGCCCCAAGGAAACACAATGCTAAATGCCACTGAATCTTCCCTATATCTTCAAGTCCTGATGACAGATGAAGAACACTTCCTCTGATAAAATGTTCAAAAAAGTGAAAATAACCCCTCACTCAAAAAAGACAAAAATGCAAAACGAGGTTCAGGATGGAGGGTTACTTTTTTCTTCTTTAGTTGTCAAAAGCTTAAAATTTTTAATACTTACTGCCAAAATTCCTCTTCCGGTGTTGCAATTAAAGTACTTTGAGTTTTGTTTACGACATCCAGACTACCGTTTTGGTGTACATCTAATGTACCGGATACGTTTCCGACATTATGGGACGTAATGTTATGAATGGTATCATTTACTCCGGACTCCCGATGTCCAGCCAGCACACACAGAGGTGTGTTCCATTCCTGTCCACACAGAGTCCATGGTAGTGGGGATTTGAAGGAGTTTATAAGGTAATAAAGTGTCCAGCAAATTATAACGATGTAGTATGAGCATGAGATGGTAGATAGAATCGAGATTCCAACACCCACTCCTGAAAAAGTAAGTGGTATCTCGGTGAAACATATGACAGAAAACATCTACGTTACAACATTTACTTATAGAACTTTTACTCATGCACAAGAGTCAAAATTATTTATCTAAAGCAGCATCGTCGCAAGCCACGGGTTTTGTGTCCATTCTATTTCCACTGTGGAAATAGAATGGACACAAAACCCGTGCACGTGGCTTGCGACGATGCTAAAGCAATTGCACTTCCACATTTTGTGCGCGAAAGTACTGTATATGACATAAGAATACATTTGCGCCACAGGTACTTGTGGACAGGACCCCCCCCCCCCCCCCGATATTCAACCCCGGGGCTTGCTGGACATTTTTTCACAAATCATATTTATTACAGTTATTTATCATGTGTACCATAGGAAAAAAATCGGGAAAACCCCAAAATAATCAATCCACACAAAAAATACCCCACTACACATATACATTATAATGTATAGTGGGGTAATTTTTGTGTGAAACGATTGTTTTGGGGTTTTCCCGATTTATTCCTATGGTACACATGATAAATAACTGTAATAAATATGATCTGTGAAAAAAAAGCTTAACAAGCCCTTGGTTGAATATCCCAGGGGTGGGGGTGGGGGGTCCTGTCCACAAGTACCTGTGATTTGCGCAAAAACATTTACAAGGTACGGGTTATTAGAAAAAAATTGACAATCACAAAAAGGGGTACCCCCCTCCCTACGTGCCTGAATGTTATGTTTGCTGGACTAGGAGTGGAGGTCGGGTGTAGCTAAAATAACTTTTCATAACTAATTTTATCAATCTAGAAGTTCCCAATCTAATTTTAGTCAAATGTAGAAAAAATAAATTCTTACATGTCCCTGAAAGATCGCGTGCAGGTGAATACAGTGTATTTTTTCTACAATGGTTTCCTGGGAAAGCTAGCAATTATTCAATCATGTAATAATTCGTATTGTTTAAAAATACATGTATTTTGATTATGCGTTACATTGTGATATTTTATAAAATATATCATATACTTTTCATTTAATACCCCGGTAATCTGTCATCCGTAGAGGATATGTACAACATCTGCACCGCACGACACATAATTTTGGACATTGAACCCCCTCCCACCTATAAAAAACATACCTAGAGTGAAGGGAAAATCAACCAAATAAAAAATTATTTAGAAATATTTTAAAGATTTATAACACTTACCTCTGAAGAGGGGACATACATCCCAGACTTTGACAATTCCCTTGCCTGAGAACTGACCCATGGTCACCTCTAGAGTGAACAGAGGAAGGCCGCAGAAAAAGAGGAAAAATAGGAATGGAAACAGAAAGGCTCCTGTCAACAGATTGTCAAAAATACTGTTGAATTTCCGTAAAAATTCTATACAAATATCCGTAAAAATTAATGTGAAAATACCCATGTAGAAAACTCCTTCAGGTAGTCCATCCCTCAGATTTTGGAATATAGCAGTGAAGTCTCTTTTATTCTTATTTATTGACACATCTCTGGTTAAAAACTTTTTTTGTTGTTACAGTATAGATCATTTATATAATTTTACTGCGAATGAACATCGTTAACACAGTTTCAACTCACCGCCGCCATTTCTCATACAGAGATATGGAAAACGCCAAATGTTTCCCAGACCAACGCAGAAACCCAACATAGAGAGAATGGATTCCGCCTTTTTGTCCCATTTCTCTCTCTCCTCGGAATTCTGGGTATTGTTGTCATCGCTAATTGTAAATTTCTCGTTAAGGTCCATCTTGTCTTGGCGTTGATTTTGTTAATGAAACAATGCTGTCACTTGTTCTAGATTTAAAAATAAGGAGGATTGTTTTAAAAAATTTTATTACATTTGAAATTGAATAAGACGAGAAAAATGTTGCTCATGTAGGCATTTGTTTGCTTATAAAAATAGCCATATCATTGTTGGATATCAAGGTTATCTAAAATATAACTTAAATCATGATGTAACGACATGTTTAAGATTGTTTATAAAAAGATTGGAAAATGAATTGTTAAAACAATTTTTTGGTGATTTTCTTTTTATATTATTGATTCTGTATTGAAAAACTTTTTTATTACCTACCTTTTAAGCCAAACTTTACGTAATACCATTCCGAAAAAAAAAAGAGAAAACTATTGGTAGATTTAATCGACATTGACCTATCCGATGCCCTCTTTAACTCTGTTCAAAAACAAATTCGCGTAATGTATTCAAAGACACAAAATAAAAAAAAAATTGGCATGATCCTAGTTCACATATAAAAGCAAGTATCATCGAATCCACCTGTCGTTCTATAATTTCACTTAATTGTAATCCTTCCGTGGGTGTAACATTTTTGTGCAGAATAAACCTGTTAGGTTAAAGAAAGTAAACATTTTATCACTGTTCTGGGGAAAAACACAGAAATTTTGACTAACCACGTCGAAACTTTTCTTCGAAATCAAAAACGGATGAATGTAATTAGTCTTAGTGTGGTCTACCAAAGGAGATGGGTGAACAAGGCGTGCAGAATGCCTATTGCTTCAGATATGTAAAAATCATATTCAGTTAGTGAATTTAGTATTTAGAGTAAAGTTTTCTTTATTGAAATTTATGAAATTGTGATAAACAAAATTTTTCTGAAGAAAATTTCTCGGCAAAATTATTCTGTTATTAAAAAAATAATGCAGTATTCGACTATTCGTGGGGTTCGAACCCTAGCAGTAAAAATCCTTAGTATCATTTTCTTTTGAAACTAACGGCTAAACACTACGCTACACAGCTCCTGGTGAATAGTGGCATTTAAATCATGTTTGTGATATGACCCTTGACTAAACGGACTCAAGTTTTTCACGGAAGATGGGAATGTTGTGTCATAAAAGTGTACTTTTTAGGTATAGTGGGTCTTTGCTCCATGTTTTTGTTAACAGAAAAATGTATATTTTTAGGCAAAATTTGAGGATAAACTTTTAAAAATAAATGGAGCAAAGACCCACTCATATCGACAAATTGTGATATAGTATGAGAAAATGATTCTTTTTGTCCTCTTTAGTGTACGTATGCTATTTCATAGGCAAATTAATCCTATCTTTGTGAGATTTTTGCAAATTGTTGAGATTTTACATGAAGTATACTTTAATGTTAGATGAAATATCAAAGAAAATTTTGTTATAATTGTAATTTAATTTTCACCTTCATATGCATGTTTGTCGCACTATAGGCACTTCGCCCGCCTTGTTCGCCCATCTTCTTCATTGAAATCGGACTCAGACCGTCGGAATACCACTGGGAGCCACTTGTAGTCACTCATTCCCTCCAGTTTTATTGGTGTTTAAGAAATAATATATTTAAAGAATTTCACAGAAAATTGTATTTCAGTAACCTGGCAGCATCGTTCGTTGAAATGAAAAGCTAATGCTAGTACTAGGAATTATATATCTTATAGTATTGTTTATTTGTATACCAAGTATTAATGATATCAAATCAAGTAAAGTAGAAGAGTTTTGAATTTCACAGATTTTTTTTAGTTACCCTGGCAGTACCGTTCATTGAAATAAAAAAAAAAAACGATAACCGACAGGTTGTTTAAACAGTAATTAACACTTCACAAACTGACCAATTACCCATGCGATCTCAATCAAGAGAGCCATAATTACCTCCAAATAGATATGTTGAAACGCTAAATTATCACCGTTTGTGCAGAAATTTATTTTAAAAAATAAATTTTAAGAAAATTGCGTTCAAATTTACATATATTTTATTTTTTCCGACTAACCGATTAAAGATTTTCTAACCGATTAACATCGTTCCGACCGAGTAATCGGTTAACCGGTTACAAATTGCCATCCCTAAAAATAATTTTGCCTTGTTTTTAAACCGTGCGCAGTAAACCGGGAAATACTCATATTTCCTAAGGCGGTGAAAATTCTGATAATTTCTTGGAAACACTCTGACTTCGCGGAAAATACTGGGAAATAAGGTGTGGCTGCATGTTTCATAATTTTAACCATATCTGATGGATATAGACATGAGGACATATGTAGTTCACCTACCTGGCTAAGACATCGTTGTCTCTGCAGCTGGTTTAAAAAATTCTAGCTACCCAGTAAAATATTTCCTTACATTATCATTATTACAGTTTACTCATAGACCAGTGTCATTTGTTTTAATACTTAACAGGAGAGGAGAAAAATGCGACGGACCAGACCTGGATTTGAACCTGGGTCCCCTGAATCTCCATTCAGGTGCTCTTACAATTGAACTTTCTGGCCACCGGCGGTCGAAACGGTCTGACCGCCTCATTCCTCCCTCGAAGATACCAACACAGGCTCTTCTTTTGCAGGTCTTTCACCTCTGTCACTCCCAGGGCATGGCACGGCACCAAATGCAACAGGTGAAAAACCTGCCAGGGAATATTGTTTGTAGGGCCGACTTTCTGTCTTTTGGATTCATATTCAATAACATCTTTCGTCCAATTTTTTTTTTCATCGAGTTGATACACAGAAAGCTACCGAAAATGTTCTCGTCATTATTAGGTATGAAACATAGTACGTGGCCGTTTTTTCATGGTCATTGGCACAACTTAGATGAATTTGGGTGACCAAATGTAATGTATTTCACGATTGATCTTTATTGATGGTTTCGGGATTAAAATGACTTAAACTAAATTCTTCAAAATTTCTGAATGATATTTTTCACCTCAAAAAATCAATTGGCTTCACATGTCACATACTCGTAGTTTATGTCAGAAACATTTAAGTATTGTGTGACTGTCCACAGCATTTTGAAAACATCGCTACTAGTCTACTACTGATAATTTGGCCATTATTTTATGTTCGAACAAAATATGCAAATTTTACGAAATAAATTTCAGGTTATAACAAGTGAATGGTCTGTTCTGCGTATTAAAGTACGAAGCAATACTCTACAAGACAAAAAATAACGAAGTAATTCAAAAGTCACTGAACCAAGATCAAGCTGATACTACTGCGAAAGAACACTGTCAGTTGTGCATTGTGTTCCTAATTATCTACAACACGTATATCTATATGATACATGTATTCCTGTAAACCTACTGAAAAGGGTTGATTCTCCTACATGCTTAGGAATGAGGTCGGTCATACATTGAGATGGCTGCATTTTTTTCCGGTGTAAAGGAGGTCAACTACAAAAGCTAGGCCATTTTCGAAGAATGAAAAATATTTTGCAATATATTTTTTAGCGATAATGTATGATATTTATATCTAAAATCAAAATAAATAAACATAAAAAAAATATGATGAATGAAGCAAAGATTATTTTTTACAGATGTGATAAACAAAATTCGTTAATCACGACGTTAAGTCTATTTCTTTGACTTAAAAGTCAAAATCTGTGTAATCTACATTCAAATGAATATACGAGGGGTTATCAAAAAGTTCGTGGACTGATGCGATAAAATTAATACTATGTAGTTGATGATTACAAAATTTGTAGGGAACATAAAACAACAAAAGTTTAAGAAGTGTTGAAAATTTCAGCTTGATATGTTGATAATTTGCCAAATTATCATTGAATAAAAAGAGCATTATATGATCACCCGGCGCTGTCGCCGTTTATTTTTATGACGTCCGACAACGTCATTATTTCTCCATGCCCGCTCCCTCTGCCTCAATACACTTATCTTGATGAGATTCTCTTGAGTAAAGTAAAGACCTAAACCCGTCTTGTTTATATGACTTTACAATGTTATGAACACATGATTTCAATGCATTAATATTGTAAATATTAAATCTATACATTGGAAAAGATCCTCGCTTGATTTGCCTGCATAATTTTCTTGCCGGTGTTCAATGTCAACCAATGATCAACGTCACTTTTCGACGTGTCTGACTTTGGACACCCTGACTACAAATCGACATTAACCGTGTGTCTCTTTTCTTGCTGAATCTGTCTTGGTATTTAAACACAAGTACTCTGGATGTATTTTATTTCTCTGTAGCCTGTTTAAACATTTTCTAGGTCTATGTCAGGTTTTCCAGGGGCTGAAACTTTATAGAAAGTTGTAAAATGACACCCTACCCCCTTTCGACGTCATTTTTAACCCCTATATTGGTTGGACATTCCCTATAAAATTTACGATAAAATTTCATAGAATATATAGAATCAGGTAAAAATTGCAACTTTTACGGAAAAATTATGTCATATCACATGAGTGAATTAATGGGAATTTCGGATGACAAATGCTCATATTAGAAGAGTTTTTCTCAGTTACACTCAGGTAGAAAATACGTCATGTTCGAGGTTGCGCCGCCTTGACATACCATTGCTTACAAAAACATTTACGATTCACTCAAAAATAAAACTTATGATTTATAGTTTATTTTACGGATAGAAAAGAAGATGCTTATTTAATGTTTAAAAATTCATTGATGTATCTTAAGCGGTTTTAATTTTATGACGCTAGTCCACGAACTTTTTGATAACCCCTCGTATATGACAATTCTGAAAGCACTGTACATACATATAAATGTATATTTTTGCGACAAACTTATCAGTGCCATCTTTTCACATCAAACATTCGTTTGCAATTTGTTTATATTTATACTTCAATTTTTACTTGACAAAGATTGAATCTCTCGAGTTTGATTGTTGGCCAATTATTTCATTTTTACGCATTGTAGTCGGCGACGGCGTATTTCTAGTGCCACTCTCCCCCTTTATCATAGAATCCTATGTAAATATTATTTATAAGAATGGTAAATGTCTTTAGGAGATAACCGTATTTAATTTTTTTTAAATATAAGATTTCTGTTAGAGCCTCCTTCATAATTTTCCT